GTTTTTGTTATTAGAATGCTACAGTGTCGATTTTGGTAACAAAAGCATATTTGGTGCGGTGTTGTTTTATTTTACACAGTACTAAAACATTTCTTGAACAATGGCCTAAAACCAAAACACCCAAAAGTTATTTTTTCTTATTTTGATAACTGTTCATGACCTAAAACCAAATTCTAAACAAAACGCCTAAAACAAAAAGCATACCAAAAATATCGTTCCCAAACGTGATTTTGATTTTTTTTCAAAACATTGCTACAGCAAAAACATTTTTCTATTTTAGCTAAAAACAAAACGCATGCCAAATAAACCCTAAACGATATAAAAATACACTTTTCAAATTTTAGTGAAGTGAAAATGAAAGTCACACAAAGTATTTGAACGGAAGTAAAATGAAGCCACATTGTAAAATGCTCCGATGACTTTGAAAATAAAAAGTAAATACGATCCAAATTTATAAGTCAATCCTCCAGTGTACAGAAAAGATATGTGGCCTCCTCATATAAAACCTTTAACGCGTATGAGTTTTGTGTGTTTTCTCCAAATTCCTCACACAAAAATCAAATAGCTAATATGAATATAAACTTGGTGTAACAATTTTGTGCTCATCTTGATGGGTAAAAAGTCAAGCAGCTCGGATAAAGCTAAAATATTACCAAGAGAATATGCTTATTATGCACACTTATTCCGGTTTATTCTTATGAACAGTTTTCTTGCAACTCGCTATGTTGATGCGTATTTTTTTTATTTTTTATTTTATAAGTGATGCATTATAGATGCGTTAGGGCAATAGGATCGAATCTTCTCGTGTGTCATTTCATCATATGACGTGTCATGTGTCATTACATCGCTTATGCAATAACTACGTTACATCGCTTCTGCAAAGAACTTTTTTCATGTACATGTTACAGTAACTATATACTAACGATATAGGATCACGGCACATGATCCGCTCAGGAGTCCGAATTCTACGACAATAAGGATAAATTTTGGAAAAAGTCATCGGTAAATATAAAATAGTTGGAGTTGTTTTCAAGAGAGAAAAATATTCTCCAATACTAGAATTAATGAAATCTACTTTTGGTTCTCAAATACAAGACAATAAACTACCATAAAAAAAAAAAAAAAAACTAGGGCTGTTTTTTTATCCAGAACCAGAGGAGGGAGAGGGGAGTACTCTTACAACTACCATAAAAACTCAAAAGAGAAAGCGAAAAGACCAAACAGAGACCGGGAAACTCAGTCCAGCTTTATCCTGTCCACATCAGTCATCACTGCTTCAATCTGTAATCAAACATTATTTAAGAGTTTATGATAAAGTTTGTCCACAAATTTGTCAAGCAAGAGATAATACAGCAAAGTTACAAAATAAGAGAGAATGACATACCTTAACAATCCGACGCAAAAAGTAATCTCGGTTTAGATTCCACAATGTGGATCATGTCCTGCATTAACAGAGACGATGAGTCCGATTACCAGAGCATTAAAGCTCTAAAACATGCAACTTCATTTACAATAGCTAGAATCTATGTTACATTACATGGTCTGAAGTAAATACTGCGTTCATCTCCCTATGATAATACATAAATAAATTCACGTGTATGTACATTTATACATGTGTACTTATAACAGTGTGTACTCGAGACTTTGTATACTCGTGTATGCTGCACTCATCCAAAGGCAAGATCCATCCATAAACTAAAAGATTGAGAGCAAATTTAAGGTTAAATCTTCAGCTACACTGCCGGACCAAAGCTACATAAACTATTAAGTGTGAGCTACTTAGAATTGTAAATTTGTATTTGGTGCACCAACATTATTCAGACATAAATGAGTTATATTTACAGTGTTAGTCGGGGAATCTTAGCTGCTGGATAATATCTGCAAGTTGTTTTGGACACGTTTAAGAGATCAAAAGTTGACTTAGATGGGACATTTTGACTACCACATTTAACACACAACATTGAGTTATCATGTGCTGCTGTCTTGCGGTGTTCCCTTAATCATGAACACTCCGAGTGCTTTGAAACCTAAACATATCACTTATATAAGTTTCGCATGACCTCAATTTTTATTTCTGTGGCCAAGCAAATCGATCAACCAATGTGTTGACTATAATTTTATATGTCCCCATTTGCAATTTTGGAAAATCAAAAACTGACTGCCCCAATTGAAATACTGCACTTAGATGTGTTGACATGAACTTTGGCCATGTTATGCTTCTTAGGTCGGTTCGGAATCACTTTTGCTATTGAGGATGGTCGGTTATGTGGCAGCCGCATGCACAGCTTGTAGCTGTAGGAATACGAGTTCTATTCTAAATTTGTCCACGCGCGTCGAACTTGTGGAAGCCAAAAAGTTATTTTTATTTTTGTATCGGTCGGTTCGTAACTTTTTTTTAAAAGTTCGATATCGTTACACACGTCTATAAATCGACTGATTTACACCGATATTCGTCCTAATCCGTTACATCGCGACTGCGAATCATGGTTTGTCGTATCGGCCAGTTCATAAACTTCAATAAACCGACAGATCCGTCCGGTTTACACCAATATTCATCCGAATTCATTACACCACGACTGCAAATAATCCCACGACCACACTGCAAACCATGGTAGTAGGCTAATAAAACTGTAGAATAGCCAATAAGTGTAGTTTTGGCATTTCACATAAATGATGTGATTGAAAGATGGATAAGTTTGTACAATAAAGAGAAAAAAAATATAGGATAATACTTGGTCCTCTTTTAAGTGGATGTTTAATTTTTTTAAAAAAATATTCATTGTATCAAATTCTATGTGTTGAATGGGAAATGAATAGGTGCTAAATTATTATATGAAAAATTGATGTTACCCTATATTTGAATTAAAATTTTCTATTAGATCTATTTTTTTATTAGAGTTTGATGAATCTTTTCCATCCTTTCCAATTTCTCAACACCTTCAATTGATAGGGTCAACAGTTGATAAATCTTTTTTTTTTTTTTCTCTCCTCTATTGAAAATATGAAAAGAAAGATTAAAAATTTGTATGAAAATATTGGTTTATATATTATTTTTATATTGATTTGTATGTTATTTTATATATTGAATAAAATATGATTATTTCATTAATGTAGAGAAATTAGAATTTCATATGAAGGTTGGGTATGGAGATGAAAAGAGTCACACTAAAAAGAGGGATTCTAAACAAATTTAAATTAGGAAAGGAAAAAAAAAATTAGGTTTTGATTTAACCTGTAACAAGTTGGATAATGACTATTTTTAAAAAATATATATATTAAATTTAAAACATGTATCTAAATTGTATTGAATTACATGGGAGAATAACATTCTCCTAAGAGAAAACCCAAATATCTTTCGTAAAACACTGATAACTAGGAAAAGTGAGTTCCACTTCCTTATATTTTTTATATATATTAATCAATTAAATTATTTAGTTAACGAATTCTTTTTGGTACATCAGTTTTATAATCAATTTCCATTAACTAATATCGATGCATTAGAGGAGTTCAACCCCCACTTACATCGTATATACATAATAGGTATATACATAATAGAATTTTTATTTAACTATGTGGAGTATTCTAGAACATGATATTTATTTTTCGAGGCAAGGGAACTGGAGTACAACTCTCTAGAAGTTTATAGTAAATATTATTTATTTCACATTTGTCCCACCAATGCCAAAGAGTAGGAGAATGCTATGATTGGTTTTTTTCCGCTTATCAATTCATTTCACTGTAAAAAAAATTAAATTATAAATCACACAATTATATTAGATTACAAATCACACCATTATAGAAGGCCAATGACAGTATTGGTTTTCTATGCTCTACCAACAACTCTCTAGAAGTTTGTGCAGTCGTTGTAAATATTTTTATACAATTTTCTAAAGAAGAGATTTAAGCCGTTAGTTGTCGTTCATCCTAACCCCTAATTCATATAATACTTGCTTATAAATAGAGTTTATTTCTCATTTGTCCCACAAATGCCAAAGAGTAGGATAATGCTCTGATTGGTTTTTTTCCACTTATCAATTCCTTTCACTGTAAAAAAAATTAAATTACAAATCACACGATTATATAAGGCAAATCACAGTATTAGTTTTCTATTTCTTGTAGTCTACCAACAATAAATCAATTACTGTAAATTTTAGAGTTTTATTCCTCATTACTGTAAAAGTAGTTATTATACTATAATAATATCTAATAATTATTGATTTTTTTAGTTTTTTTTAATCAAAAAATAATCAAAAAAATTGAAAATATAGATTAGTCTTTATTTTTGAAATTTTAATTTTACTATCAAGTAAAAATTACTAAATTTTAATTTTATCTTTTTAATGTATTAGTAGTGAAAGAATTACTAAATTTATTATAGTAGATGGTTTACTTTTTATAGAAAGAATTATATCGAGCGCATTTATGTTAAGAACCAACTAATATTATACTCAGGTCCCATGAACTTCAAAATGAAAAATAAAAGGGATTCAATTTTTCTCACAAGAATCAATTTAGCTAATAAAAGAGATCCAATTTTTGTCACAAGAATCAATTAGCTATTTTATCCCATGACCTTGAAAATTGGAAATATATATATATATCCAAATTTAATAATCAATCTTCTACATAAAAGAATATGATGGGTTCAACTCTTAATAATAGAAACAGAAAAAGATCAAATAGCGAATATGAATATACATTTGGCGTCGGCAGTTGTTTTCTCCTCTTGATAGTAGAGGTCAAATAGACCATCCAATATGACTAAAATATTACCAAAAGAATATGCTCTTCATATCCCTGGTACAAATCTACTGCGGTTTATTCTTACGGACACCCTTTTTTTTTCTTTTTTTTGTGTTTTTTTCCAATTAGGTTAGGGACACTCCTCTTGCAACTGCTGTGTTGATGCATTTGTTTTTCTTGCAGATGAAACAACAATACCCAAATGACGAATATAAGACTGTGTTATGACAATAAAAATGAATTTTGAAAAAGTCATCTGTGAAAATAAAAAAGTTGTCCAACTATTTTTATATGAGAGGGGAGATTCTCAGATACTAGAATTGATTAAATCTACTCTGGTTTATCTCTTACAGAGGCCATCTTTCCGCAAATACAAGACAAGAAACTAAAATTACATTGTAAATAGCCAACCACATTCACCAAGTCAAAATAGGGCTTTTTAGATCCAGAACTAGAGGGGGCAAAAAAAAACTCTTCCAACTAACATAAAAACCCAAAAGAGACGAGGGCATAGACCAAACAGAGACGGGAAACTCAATCCAGCTTTATCCTGTCCATATCAGTCATCACTCCTTCAAGCTGTAATCAAACATTGTGTAGGAGTTTATGATAAAGTTAGTCCACATTTTGGCAAGCATGAGAGAATACGGCAAAGGTATACATATACTACGTAAGAGATAAGGGCATATATACCTTAACAATCTGACGCAAAAAGTAATCCCCATATCTCTTGGTTGGTTTAGATTCCACAATGTGAATCATGTCCTGCATTAACAGAAAGAGGATGAGTCAGATTACCAGAGCATAAAAGCTTAAGATAATTTCTAAACCATGTAACTTTTTATGTGCCCATTGAATTATCAATTCTTAACGCAACTTCACTTGCAGTAGCTAGCGTCTATGTTACATTACATAGTCTGAAGTAAATCCTGTGTTCATCTTCCTATGATACATAAATAATTCACGTGTGTACATTCGTACGTGTGTATTTATAACAGTGTGTACTAAGACTCTGTATGCTCTCATGTATGCTGCACTCATTCAAAGGCAAGGATCCATCCACAAACTGAAAATTTGGGGCAGACAAGAACCTATGGCTGGCATTTCAATTGTTTCATTGCATTCTGCAAGAATGTGAACACCAAGCATCCAAGTTGTTCTAAAATTTACCATGCTATTAAATCAGGCCATATAAAAATGCCCTGTAACCAAGTTATTAAATTGGACATCCAAACATGCCCTCGAAGGGCTGAAAGTTTCATAAAATGCACAACAGACACAAAGCTAAGGCTTCTATGAACAGGAAACTAATAAATAGGAGAGGAGGTATAAGCGCACATCATCAATGTAAAAATCAATATCCGCATTGGAGATGATTTTTCCTTCAGAATCAGCAGAGTGTGTTTTGTGCTTGTATGTCATCAGAATTGTCCTGCAAAGGCAAACAGCTCAAAATGATCATACCAACAAATGGCATTTATCAATGAATGGACTCAAACTAAACCAAATTTCTCATGATATCTAACCTTAGAGTGGGTTCGTCCACTTCCATGTAATTCGCAAGCTTCCCAAGGGAGATGGTCGAGTACACCTTCAAGAAGGTCCGGACACCTGATAATAACTGTTGCTGCTTCACTTCATAAAGGAACAGCTTTAACTGAAGTCTATAGGCATCCTGCAAAATGAATAGCATTTGACAAATAAACCCATATCTATATCATAGAGAGAGAGAGAGAGGTTGTTATCTTGTAGTTGGAATTAAAGCAGTTGGATTCTTAAAAAGAATCAAGTTCCATAAGTTGAGCATGAGTGCACGAATAGAAGAGAAACTATCAGACAATCCAACCATAAGACAAAATAAATCTGTAGTTTGAAGCAGTAAACTGCAACGCTTTGGGTGGGGTCGGGTGAGGGGTGGTGGGGGGAGTTGTTAAGAATTTGATTGATGAACATTTCAATGGGCAAATACACCAACCAGGCATCTAACTGTAAAAAGCATTCTCACCAAGTTAACACATTTGTGGCAACTGACTTATTATCTTCAAACATTTGTGCCAACTGACTTCTTTCCTCTTCATATTCAACTTAAACAGCAACTTAGGTTACTTGCTAATTTTTCTCTCTAAAAACGCAAAGTCTATTTGTTTCCACTAATATATGAATAGCCCCCAACCTGACAAACCTATTTTAACACCATCGTGCTTCTCTCTATCTCCACCCCTCTATTATTCTTTCTCTAAAATAGCCCCCAACCAGGCAAACCTATTCTTTCTCTATGAAAAAAGAAACATATTTCTAAATACCCCTGATTTTTTAAGATGTCCAACTTATACTTCCATCTAGATTTATTAACATTCACATGAAAATACAATAGAAGGGACCAAGGACAGCTTATTTGCATGACAAGGAGTGAGAGGAAACCGTTCACAGATTCATTGCACAGATAAAATAATTAATAGATCAATTTACGGTTTTGCAGATTTTTTACAAAAATGTTACACTTACATCCACTGACTACCCCAAGGCTTGAAAATGCAACCTTCAACTAGAAATGTAATCAAATTAGTAACAACTGATTTCTTTGCCTCTATATCTATATATAAGCGTTAAAGTTGGATGTCAATACATATATATATGTTTCCTATATATGCACATGCACATTCTTGTGGTATTTTCTGAAAATACCGCTAGTGCTCACTCCACACTCGGGTATCCTATAATGTGATACTGTAGCCCATGAAAGGCCCAAAAAAGAGCAAATGTAAAGTAATCTTGGAAGTTGATTCAGCCTCAAGCCGGACTCCACTCGGGATTTCTCCAATCAAGTCTGACACTAGGGATTTTCTTGAAAGTTGATTCAATCTCAAGCTGGAATCCACTCGGGATTTCTCCAATCAAGTCTGACGCTTGCGAATTCTCAAATCAAGTTCTAGATTTAGCCACATCATTGTTCTAGAAATTTTCCTTTGGAAATCTACGTAAGGTAATCTTTCGTTTGGAATTTAGGTAGGGCAATACCAGGTGACATTTGGTCACTGTTTTGTTTAGCCTCTTTATTGTTGTCACTTTCTTGTTTTCATTTTTTCTTTTATTTTAATAAGACTCTTTATTGTTTTCTCCACATATGAGGCACTCCTCTTTGACTTTTTCCTTTCTTTTGTACTCCTCCCATTGGCTTATACTTTTTTCATCGTCGTCGTTATCATCCTTGCCTTTATTTCAAACGAATGGGGTTGGCCGCATGAATTCTCTTTTCACATTGTATTTTATTATAAGGTTGTCTACTCGTGCATTTAATTTTTAAAAATCCTTTTTATTACTTCATTTTTTTTATTTTTTTTTTTATAAGTAAAAATCCTTTTTATTACTTCATTAAAATTCCTTTTTAAGAATCTCATCTTTGTTTCTCACCTTCCACATAAACTAAACATCCTTTTCATACATGTGCAAGCATGGACCCAATATAGGACCAGCGGGGGGCGGATAACCCCACTGGATTTTTTATATTTTCATTTTATACCTCAATTTTTTTGGAATTTATGAAGATGCCCCCGCTAAAATTATAATTCGCCCCCCCTTGGATTCTTTTTTTTGCATTTTATACTTTAAATTTTTGAGAATTTTTTAAGATGCCCCCACTAAAATTATAATTCGCCCCACTGAAATTTTTTTATTTTTATTTTTTGCATCTTATGCCTTAAATTTTTGAAAATTTATGAAAAAAAACCCCATTAAAATAATAAAAATAGACTCACTATATAAGTTTGCCCCAACAAATTACAGGTTCCCCCCTTCACAAAATTTTCTGGGTCCGCCACTATACATGTGCATCTATGGGTCTACGTTGGATGTGTCCATACCACCTAAGCCAGTTAGTTAATCAAAACAAGAAAAGTTCTTTCTGAAAAAGAAAAGGAAAAGAGAGGACTCATTTGTGCACTTGAGTCCGAAGTCTTGTTTAAAAAACAGGAATAGATAATACGGTGAGTTCATACCTGGTTATAATTTACAAGAGGCTCCTCATAACTTGGAGCTGAGGGAGTAATAAACTTGGGGCATGCATATGAGAAGAGCTCATCATATAGAGCAAATGCCTCATCATCATATCTCTGCATTCTCAACATTTTCTCACCATATTTCTCCCGCAATTGAGAGTTCACAGTCTCCTCAACAAGCTTCACTTGAGGGCAAAGAGAGAGACAAATTGCCAGCAGGGCATACATCTGCTCATTCTTCTTCAAAATCTGCTCGTACTGAGGAGATTTCTGATGATATTGCTTTGTCTTATAAATGTATAATAGAATCTTATTGAATTCTCGAATTGCTTCAACATATCTGCAAAAACACCAGCGTATAAGTTGGGCTGAATAAACAAGAAATCAACAATAAGGAAATGTACACATGCAAACATTTATAATTGATTTGAGACAACAAAAATGACACAGGTAAGACAGTAATCCTGTTTTTATTTACATTAGTTTATGTACGAGAGATAAGAGAACATCATGCAGTATAACCATTCTAAAGTTTCAACAAGGGATTTAAATGCTCTAAAAATCTTAGAATTAACGGTGGATCATGATAGGTATGGACTAACAATTCCAGTCGTTTATGGAGATTCCATAGGCCACTACTTCCCATGGCCCTGCACAACTTTGTGAGAACAGTAAGATTCTGAGCAATGGAACCTAGCTAAACTTTTTGAGAAAAAACGGCATTTCATGAACCAAGACTAAAACCTCTTGTACTCTTGTGTTATCAAAGGCTCAAGATGCACTAAGGCGCTACAGGTCCTTTGGAGCCTAGGCACAAGGTGAGGCACACAAATGAAAATTAAATTACCATTAAAGCATATTCATATTCCAAATTAAAGGCACAAATGTTGTCAAAGTCGCAGCTGGGCACACAACAAGCACAAGTGTTGTGCCTGTATGAGCCTGAAGGCACGCGCCGCGCCTTTAACAACACTGCTTGCACTTGCAGATGAATACTAATGCACACACGTGGTATGTAGGTGGGTAGAAAAGCAATGACATAAAACTGATAAAAATAAAATAAAATATAATCTTAAAATTTAAAACATACTAGTTATTGAAAAACCAAAACAAAAAACAAAGTAATGGATGTATCAATGCAAACATAAAAGGGCCTATCATTAAAAACTTCATTGTCAAATCTGTCTTAAATTCTTAATAGATATTTACACAAGCATTACTTGAAAGCACAACTCTTCTCCTAATCCTATTTGATGAAGATAGAATTCAATAGTGACGTCAATTGGAATCCACCAACAAAAATTGATTACAAGGAAACCTCTATTTTGTTCAAGGGTAGAGTTTGAAACAGTCAAGTACCAAGCCCCACAATCAAATCCTCAGGCACATGAGTAGGGATCAGAAGCTTAAGGGTCATGCTAGCCTATGGGCCAGTCCAGAATACGGTTTACATTTAACCGAAAACAAACAAACAAAAGGCTACTTTATCAGGGACTTTCGTTGGCAAAATTTATATGTTACACAAATGGATCAATAAGCATTCAAATACTTATCACTGTGATGTATAGGTCAAGTGCAAATGACATTCCTGCTTGCTCTTATACCAAGCTGATCTACTCCACTACTACAAAACCTATGATGATGGTTGGGTAAAGGTTACAATAAGCTTTTGGATTGCGGATTGACAAAGGGTTGTAATTTGCTTGAATTATAGACAATTTGTCACATGAACTGCAGAGAATATTCAGCAGGATTTTCTGAACATCAACTAATTATGATTTTAGAAGGTTAAAGTAAAGGCCAAAAGCATAGGGGAAGGGGATCAAAGTATGCACTATGCAGTAGGGTTTTGAAATGGGAAGATAAAGAAATTTACAGCTGACGGTCATCAGAAAATTAAATTTTAATTGTACAGGAGATGGAGAAGAAAAGGACATGCAGCTCACTTAAGATTCTAAGGCTCCATCCCTTTAAGTGCAAGGTTAAATCATACGAACACTCAAAGCTAGGGACGGCAATTTGACATGAAATCCAGATAACCCACCCCACTCCTGCCCTGTTGGAATGGATATAGGAGGGTTCCAATTGGGCGGGGTAACCAAGGGTTGTAGCCTAGTGGTATCTCTTCTACCTTCTAAAGTGGATGGTTGAGGGTTCAAATCATGTTAGGGACAAAATTGAATGCATGAGTCACTTGCCAAGGTAAAAATAATAATTTAAAAAAAAAAAAAAAAAAATTGGGTGGGGTAGGATATTGGTAAAAAGCTAGAACATGACACGAGTATGGGTTGCCCACCCTAACACTACAATATTTCAACAGCACAAAAACATCCATCCAATGTTATTTAGACATGAAACCAAGAGGCTTAAACTCAATTAATACAATGACAGATTTAGATGAGGTGACTGGTAACAATTCCTCAATTAATGCTATATTGCCCTCAAAGTTCAAAGGGCAGGATACTGAAGCTGAAAATCCAAAGAAAATTGAACCCAAAAATAATAATAATAATTAAGTACAATGTATACGTGTAAAATATGAACTATGAAATCGACTAAAGATGATACAAGTAATAATTTCAAGTATCATTAATTAGAAGTAAATTAAATGTCCAAAAACCTTGACCAGTCAAAGTAATAAATGCAATGATAAGAAGAAAAAAATGATAGAAAAACTAACAGATGAACATACCTCCGCAACATAAGATTCGCAAACCCATAATGATATATGGTGGTAATGTGGCTTCCAATAACACTGGTATAAACTCCTTGTTGACTTATGTCAATGGGAAGCAAGCACTTTAGACCAGTGTGATAATCCCCCAGAAGACAATGGACTCGCAGCAAGCCCACCATGCTGAAATATCCCAAGACCTTCAAGACATTACTTCCACCATTGTAATCATATCCGTCAGTGGCGGTGAATTGTTCAAGGCCTTCCTTCTCTTGCTCCAGAATTTGAATGATCAGGGACTTCTCCACAAGTGCTTGCAAGAAGTTGAGCACACCATACACATTCCAAGCCTGAAAAAGAATTAGAAAAACACAACTAGTGAGGAAGATCCTCCAATAAACGCAAAACAATATCAAGATAAGGTAGCACAAAATAATATGATACATATCAAAATAAAGGAATGCTTGTTCTGTGTAACCTCTAAACATACTATAATTTATAGGGGCTTTCAGTTTGGGTTGGTTTAAAACGGTAAACCAGAATCACACGATTCTAATGGTCCAAGAAACTGCAAGCCGACCAACAATGGAACCATGTAAATTGAAACAACCCAAACCATATAAGAATTATTTTAGTCAATTTGGGTTTACATCCCTAAAATCAAATCTTACTCTAACCCAAAAATACAAGTGTGACCTTGATTTGATATAAGTAAGCTCACACTAGCTAATACCGTCATTTAACAAAAAAAAAAGTATATATAATACACACGTGCATACCACCGTTCAGTGGCAAAACAGTTCCACAATATTAGAAACTGAACCAAATGGTATTTCCATTAGAAACTGAACTGTATGACGCACTCTGATTTGGTACAGGCCAAGCATTTAGATCAAGAGAAAGAAGGTGGATTGCACAGGATATAAATCACCTCTACTCCATGGTAATCATCTAGTCTTCCTCAACACAAAAATACTTTTTCTCAGCCATTTGGCATGAGCTACTTGAATCCTAATTAATCATTTAGCCCTATCAAGGACGACTTGGGTAAATTACATAGTAATACCATATAGCATCTTACTATCCATATTGCTTTTGGTCTTTCTCTCCACCTAGCATTGCCCCTTCTATGCGGATTTTTCTTTCCTTAATGCTTTTCGCTATATAAGGCCAAACAATCTTGATCAATTTTCTCTCATTTTATCTCCAATATATGCTACTTTCAGTCGTCATATGAATGTGTCCATTTCTAATTTTAGTTTTTTACGTCTTGTCAAAAAAAATCCAAAATAGACCCAAAAATCAACAATATGAGCCCAATGAGGGGAATAAAAATAATCAGCATCATCCTTGCCTTGGATGGAATAACCATTGAAATCAAATCCTCGAACTATTCTGAATCTTCCCAAATTGACTTTATAATTTCATCAAACAAATAAAAATAAAATAAATTATCCCGTTATTGAAATACTTCTGTACTTACTCCCAAATTGCAACAAGAAATAATATATTACAAGAGGTTTCAATGCTCACAAATTTACACATGGTATCTCCAATAATATCACATTTTTCAAGGCAAACTACCAATAATTCTAAACCCAAAAAATCTATATAAATCTCAAATTTGTCACCAAACCCACAGTAAACGATGCCCACTTCAAGCAAATATCAAAGCAAAACACAAGGAGAATAAACAAACGTACAAACATCACAACAATCACAACATGTGTAACATTTTGAACAAAAAAATTATCTTCAATATTCAAAAATTACTTCCGTGAAACAATTCAAAATGAGAAGATGTGCAGCAATTCCAGATCAACACCTGATCAAATTGACGAAGAAGCGCAATTTCCTGCTCCGTCTTGCTTTTCATCTTGGCCCGATACTGGCAAAAGGACTGAAACTGATACACGAACTCATCCACCATGTCCCACAACCACTGGTTCGGTAGCTGCATATTCACCACACCGTGCAACACCACCTATGTACCAAGAGAAGCATTGAATACTGATATATATATATAAATAAACCCAAGTATATATATATATATAAATTGATACTTGCCTGAAACAGACTACAGTAATTGTCCCAAGAATCAATCCTCTGCTTGAGAGTGGGCGACAATCTTGCATACAAATGTCGGAACCACATCTCGCGGTAGAGCAAACAGAAAACGTGGTCGTTGTCGACGTACTGAGCGACGGCGTCGACGGAGGGCCATGGGGTGTCCTTGAACATGCGGTCGCTTAGGGTTTGGAAGGAGGTCTCGTACATCTGGTGGATCTCGTACACATTCTTCTCGCGTATGTGTCGATACAAGTGCACCACGAAGGACTTCACTGAGTCAGGGACGAAGTTCGGATCGTAGCCGAGTGAGTCTTGTTGCTGAGGGTAAGTCGCTGAATCTTCGAAGTCCATTGTCGATCGATGTGGGTTTCTCGCGAGAGACAGAGAGAAAGATAGAGTTGTGAGATAGGGTTTATTGATAACAGTCGGGAGAGAGAGTGTGCGCGCGTGTGTTTTGCCCTAAAGAACTGAAGAAGAGTTGGAGACAATTAGGGCCTGCTAACAGTGACTTGACCCAACGGGTTTCAGGTGTTACGGGTTAACTTGGTGGATTTGCAGCCTCCTCTTGTTTCAGTTTCAAGGGGTTTTTTTTTTCTTTTTTTTATTTTTTTATTTTACCTTCCTAAAATATATATATATATATATATGAAAAAATATAAACTTGAATTAGAGCCAATTTGGTTGTTGTTGGAATAAAAAAAGTTACAAATAAATTATTATCAAATAATAATTTTATTGAAGAAGGAGTGTAATTAATTGTCTTTATAAAAAAAAAAATAATAAAAGGATATAATTGTCTACCTAAAATATTCAACATCTACTCCAAATATAATTTTGAAAACTTTAAATTTTAACTTTATTCAAGAGTTCCTAAATTTGATAACCATTAAAGACATTTTTAATGGTCACTAAACACATCTAAATGAAATTTTAAAAATAGAGAAGTAATCTCAAACAGGCTTTTTAAAAAATTAAAGCATTTTTAAAGAGTAGAGAAATAATCCCAAACAGGCTCTTAGGAAAAAAAATTCAAGCTTGTATTAGTTTATGAATGAGTCAAACTAATTTTGAGCATAATGTCACGGGCCTAGAGATTTGGCGCAGCGGCACGGCCCGTGCGGCACCAAGGCGTTGCTTCGGCTCGCGCAAGCGCCCTGGTCAGCCACCACGACCTGCCCTCCCAAGGATACATGCTGACTGGTTTCGGCCTGCCATGGCCTCGTCAGGGGAACGGCTCCAGCTCCCGACTAGTTTGTGCAGGGATGGCCAACTCCCTTCTTCATAGTCAAGTCCACGACCAGCGACAAGCACCTCGAACTGAACCGAGTCGACCTGCCTGAACTCTGAAGAGGTACCATCCTGTGCTCCTGCACGCCCCTTCCCTGGAACCATTCCCAGTCAAACTCTGCTCTTTGCCAACCAGCATGCGTGTCTTCCATCCTCCAAGCGTCTTAGGAATCACTTCGTGACATTCTCCCCCACCCAAATCCTGCGACGTCCTCGTCGCAGTGCGGCGCTTCACTACTGCGTCCACTCCCTTCCAAAGTTTGCCTCCATGCGGTATGCTCGCCTTCCCACCATCACTTCCTTGTGCAGCTCCCTGCACTGCACTCGCCCAATGATAGGCCTCGGACCAAGGGGACGTCCACTCCTCAAGGACGTGACTCTTCTCCGTCATGCCGCCTCCGCGACATCCCGAGCAAGCAATGGCCTTCTGCCGACTTGATGCTCGCCCTTCACCATGGTTTGCATCACCCAAGGACTAAGCACGAACTTTGGTGCGCGCGGCCCTCCGGCCCTTCAATGCGCAACTTCAACGGACGCCTCTTCCTAGGGAGATGGAGGCTCTCCCCCCCAACTGCATTGATTCCTCCACATCGACGCAACTTCAATGCACCGTCTTCATTCTCTGACCCCTCCCGGACCGACAAAGGGGCACCCCACCGTGCTTTACCCCAACCTGGCTCTGATACCATTTGTCACGGGCCTAGAGATTTGGCGCAGCGGCACGGCCCGTGCGGCACCAAGGCGTTGCTTCGGCTCGCGCAAGCGCCCTGGTCAGCCACCACGACCTGCCCTCCCAAGGATACATGCTGACTGGTTTCGGCCTGCCATGGCCTCGTCAGGGGAACGGCTCCAGCTCCCGACCAGTTTGTGCAGGGATGGCCAACTCCCTTCTTCATAGTCAAGTCCACGACCAGCGACAAGCACCTCGAACTGAACCGAGTCGACCTGCCTGAACTCTGAAGAGGTACCATCCTGTGCTCCTGCACGCCCCTTCCCTGGAACCATTCCCAGTCAAACTCTGCTCTTTGCCAACCAGCATGCGTGTCTTCCATCCTCCAAGCGTCTTAGGAATCACTTCGTGACAATAAGCTCAGATTCCTTAATAAACAAGTCGTGCTTGAATTTCTCAAAATAACGACCTGAGTTGAATTTGAATTCATCATTTTGAACTTGTCAAAATCTAAAATTGAGCTAGTAAGCCAATATGTTAAATTAGCTCAACTCGATTCATTTACCTTTATGCGTCCCTATATGCAAATCAGCCACATAGTTTCTCTTTTCTCTTTTTTGCTATTATAAGTTATTTTTCCTATTATATTTAATTTTTTAAATTTTTTTTTTTTTTTTATTGCCTCATCCCATCTTAAATTTGTCCAAAAAAAAAATGGAGTTGAAAAATCATATAGCTTGTTACTTTTATTAAAAATAATAAGCATAAATAAATAAAAACATAGCTTGTTTGTTTGACTTTTGCTGAAAACAATTTTCAATAAATTGAGAAAATCTTTAAGTGAACTGTTAAGCAAACAAACGAATTAGTGAACTGTTCTCTATTTTTGTTCTATAATGGTACAAGCATACTGTATAACCAAACTTGCTCCCTCTCCCTCTCTCTCTCTCTCTTTCCTCCTACAAATGCTTGTAGGCAAACTCGGTGTTTCAAATTCATTGACAAGTTCTCAATCTCAACATTGGTGCACATTTTTAATGGTAAAAGTCTATCTTATATCAAATTAATTCAAGCTTACCGTTAGACCAAACAATCCGGTTGAAAATAGCATTAGGAAAAAACATCCTATGAGCAATCACAAAGATTACATAGTCAGAACAATAATATATTGTTACCGGGGAACCTAATTGGCACCAGCAATCTTTCAAGAACAACTTCCCACAAGCAGTATAGTTATGGCCTAACAATCCTCCATAGAGTAGGAAGATGTTCATATCCATCACAAATATATACATACATAAACGGGAATAAACCCAGCACACATGCATTCACACATCAATGCTTCCAGCAGTTGTTAGTAAGTTTCGTACTTCCGTGTGACACCATAACTACGACACATTTTTTTTGCCCATCAAAGGTTAAGAGCAACCATCACCACCACCTTCTGTTTTAGTAATATACGGAGTATATCATATGCAATAAAAGAGAGAGATCCACCTTCTGTTGATCGTTTGAGAATATGTATCAGGTTATTAGTGAATTTTCAATTAGTAAAGGAGTCAGCTAGAGAGCACAAAATGGTTCCCTTTCCATGGCCCGGGCTTCCTGGGCAAAGAAAATGAAACGTAAGATTACCTCTAGAAAAATTTATACAGGTTATGAACATTACCTAAAAGGTGTCTGCTGCATCAGCCTAAAAGACATACAAGCTTGTCATTAGCATCGATCTGTGTACAAGTATCAGTTAAAATCAACAGAAAGCTGATGCCTTCAACGTTCCAGTATTCAACTCAAATGGGAAAAGGATGCTGGAAAGCTGGGATGAGCGGAAGACTTGATAGAAAGATGGACGTCAAGCTCTCTGCCTGCTATTACTACGGGTTGGATAAGGCACCTCCTGATAGTCGTCAGGTTCATCCTCCTCATCAGAAGATAGGAAAGATGATCCCATCCATGACTTAAAACCTTCATTCACACGCCTCTCCACGTCAGGTGTGAATAGGACAGGATTTGCTTCGAGCATTTCCAACCCAAGATTTCGACCACCAAAGTCGTTCTCATCGAGAATTACAGCAGCTTTCCTTCTCAGGAAGAAGGCACTTCCACCATATAGAACAACCAACCCCCATGATGCAATCTCGTAGCACCAAAACAAGGGCAAGGAACAGTTGCTCCCTAGTGTGAGGAGACTTGAACCAAGAAATAGTGCAAGAAGACCAAAAATGATGGCAAACACGGCATTTAGAATGGATAAACAGCGCACCCCACCTGTAAAATACAATACAAAAATTACAAAATGCGCTTGACATACAAGTTAATGAATATCAATGCATTAGTCAGCTATCTGGCATTGGAATCCTGCTGGGACGGGTGCAACTATTGTACAAAAAAAAAAAATCTGAATAGGAAACGACTCAATCATAATAGTGATCTTCCATTTTCAAAATAAAGAATTCTACATTAAGTGGAAAGGCAGGTAGCCACGTCCCAACTCCCAACATAAGCCACTCGCAAGTGAGCTGCAGAGATATTGCATAGTCATTTAATCCCTAGACGATCCAACAAGTAAAACAAAAGTTGCAATATATACCATGAAAAATAACATAAGATCACAAAAACACCATCTATGGTTGAACCCGTTTGTATATGTTTGATGGAAGAGCGGATACCGTTTTGTAGTTGCAGTTCAGCATGTCTAACAAAGGTCCTGTTAGTGTTTTCTGAGAAGAATAACTGTGGCAAGCTCTACTCCAATTTCTCCAAATCCGCTCAGTTTCTATGCTAATTACACTACCAAATTGTTAGCTAAGCCCTACTGCATCTTTGAAGTTCGAACTCTAAGTTATCAACTAATCACGAATATAAATTTCTCGTCATCAAGTATACAAGTGTTCTTTGGTCAGTTCCTTCAGTCCACTTTTCTTTTTCGCCAGGTCCGTCATAGAACTTGAAATGGATTAAGGAAGTTCTCTCTTCCCTTTTTCATAACCTCTCTGTTTCTGGTCGTCAGTTTACACCATTTTTATTCCATCAAACAGAATATGAATAAAAAGCAATTAAGGTGATCTAATCGTAATAAGATCATTTTTGTTTTTGAGAGAGTAAGAGAAATATCAACCTGCATCACATCAGAAAATCAATAATCATGGTGGTAAACAACTTCACCGCATATAAACTGGACATATACTATTCTAGGTTTCAAGATCCTTTACAATCTAATTTTTTTGGTAAGTCCTTTATAACCTTTTTAACTTCCTCTTAATCTTATGTACATCTTTCAAAACTTCTCTTTATCCCTACATAAATGGCAAGGTGTTCACATCCTCCACAACAATGATGCTTGAAAAACTTATCTATATTGTATCTACCTTTGTCTATTCAACGGAAAAAGTCTTACCAAATAATTGTTAGTATTTGCAACATCATTTGTCTTCTTAGAAATCAAACAACAGATAAAACAAGACTCGAATGTTAAAAAAAAAAAAATGTGTTTATCAAATTAAAATATATATATGTATATA